TCTTGACGCTAATACCTCACCTGAAATTTCACCTCTTATTTTATGGGACTGTGCAAAAGCATACATTAGGGGACGAATCATTTCTTTCACAAGAGCCAGAAAATGAAAAAAAGAAGAAATGCAGCAACAACACTAAAGAAGCCCATCCTCAAGAGTACTAAAAAACCTAAAAGTGTCATGTTCCTGGGCAGAGGTGAGTCACACCTTCTCCTCTCACCAGACTCTGAGCTAATTCTCCACAGGTGAGGAGCAGGGGGAGCGGCAGCTGCAGGAGATTTCCCAATCGGGTTCAAAAGGAGGATGGAGACACATCACTTTGCCGGATGATTGCACCAGTTTAGGTAGCACCAGCCACTCGACTCTGAACTTTGATCTTGTTAATTCGTGTTTTGACTCGCCTTCGACTAGTGGATTTATGACCTTGGATTGTATTTTGGATTTGGAATTGGATTATCCATTACGCCTGTTTTTGTCTCGCTCAGGATCATCTCATCATCTACTCACCCTCGCTGTCTTCGTTTTCTGGAACATACTCATCACGTCCCATCCTCCTCCGCCGTTCCTGTTTGGCTTTCCCTCTGCTACCTCACCCCTCCTGGATCTCTCATCCTCTGCCCAGCGTCCTCCCCGGCTTCCCCTCCTCTACTGATTAACCTGAGCACCTCAGAGACTCGAGCCGTATTGCTCATCCCACAGGACTTCCCTGTGCGGTTTCAGTTCCCGTTTTTATAATAAAGACATTTTACTTTACTGCTTTGGACTACGTGTGCTGATTCTGCATGTCTTGGGTTAGACACTTACCTCGAGCCATGACAGAATCATCCGGCCACACATCTAATCCAGCGGAGTCAGCACTCGCGGATCTGGCTACCCGGATGTCCCAACAAGAGCAGACACTTCCCGTCCTCATGGAGCAGCTGAATATCACCAACCAACGTTATCAACGTTTGGAGACCGTCCTGCAGCAGCTTCAGGAGCAGCTCTCCTCTACAGCCTCGGGTTCCGTCCCCGCTCCAGCGACAGCCGCCGCTCCGGCGTTCGGAACAGAACCACACGCACACGCCTCGGGAGGTGTGGTTTCACCTGGACCGGAGGCGCTCGGCTCTCCGGAAATCACCCACTTCCGTTCGGCTCCTCCTCGGCAATGTCCGACCTTCTCCGGTGAATTCGAGGATTGCTTTGGGTTTCTGCTACAGTGCCGCCTAGCGTTTGAAGACTCCCCGAGGTCTTTTCCTACTGACTCAATGAAGATCTCGTTTATTGTTGGACTACTTAGAGGCAAGGCGCTTCGGTGGGCGGAGGCTAAGAGCAGAAATCCTAATTTCCTGTCTGGTTCTTACCCAGACTTTCTGGAGGATTTTAAACTGACTTTTTGCAGTTCAGAGACCACCACTGACATCAGAAAAAGACTGTTGCACCTCTCGCAGGGAAGAAGGTCAGTGGCTGACATGTCTCTGGAGTTTAGGACCTTGGCTGCAATGACATCATGGGGAGACGATGCCCTTAAAGCAGCATTCATCGAAGCGCTGAACGATCGGGTAAGGAACCAGCTGGCTCTGTGCCCCGAGCCATCAACCCTGGACGGACTGATCTCATTATGCATCTCTATCGACAAGAGACACAGGGAGCTTCAGAAGACACCATTCAGGGATCTGTCACCACCTGTAGCACATCGTCCATCCCATAGGTCTCCTCCTCTGGACTCACCCGAGGAGCCCATGCAGGTGGGACGTACCCACCTTACTCCAGAGGTGCGCCAACATCGTTACAGTAAAGGGTTGTGCCTTTACTGTGGAAAACCAGGACACATGGTGCACACTTGCCCTGCGGCGTCAAAAGGGCGTGCCCACCAGTAGTTCCGGGAGTTCTGGTGGGCAGTCATTCAGGTAAAGAGACCTCCCGTTTTCTTATTGACTGTGCTTTGACTGTTAACAGTCGTCGCCACCGGATGACTGCTCTAGTAGACTGAGGATGTGAACAGTCTTTGGTGGACCCTCAACTGGTGCGGGATTGGGGACTGTCTACTGTTCCACTGCCGGAACCTTTAACAGTGTCCTCCCTGGATGGGAGGCCCCTGGCAACAATCACCCACCGGACCCAACCACTCCAGCTCCAGGTCTCAGGTAACCACACGGAGATGATCTCATTATTTGTGTTTCCCTCCCCGCAGAACCAAGTAGTTCTAGGCCATTCCTGGCTTAGGGTACACAACCCGTGTTTGGACTGGAGATCAAGCCGTGTGGAGACCTGGAGTCCGGAGTGTCATCTTACCTGCCTGACCTCTGCTTCCTCTGGATCCAAGGACTCTGAAAAGACTCTTGTGGAGCCGCCCGATCTCACCCAGGTACCAAGTGAGTACCATGACTTGCAGCAAGTGTTCAGTAGAGATCAAGCAGCCACGTTGCCACCTCACTGTCCATTTGACATTGGAATAGACCTGTTGCCAGGAGCTCCGCTCCCAACCAGCCGCCTCTACAGTCTGTCCAAACCTGAACGGGACAGTATGAGGAAATACATTACAGAGGCCCTGGCCAATGGCATAATCAGGCCATCCACCTCGCCTCTGGGAGCTGGGTTTTTCTTCGTGGCCAAGAAGGACTGGTCGCTTCGCCCTTGTATTGATTACAGGGGTTTAAATCAAATAACGGTGAAGGACAAGTACCCGCTCCCTCTACTCTCATCAACCTTTGAACCTGTGCAAGATGCCACTGTTTTTACGCGGTTGGATCTCCGCAATGCATATCACCTGGTCAGAGTCCGCCAAGGTGACGAATGGAAGACAGCTTTTAAGACACCCCTGGGGCACTTTGAATATTTGGTGATGCCCTTTGGCCTCACTAATGCTCCAGCGGTGTTTCAGAGACTCGTGAACTCAGTGTTGGGGGACTACATTAATGACTTTGTATCTGTATATCTTGATGATATTTTGATTTTTTCTAGGTCCATTGATCAACACCAGAAACATGTTCGGATGGTACTCCAACGGCTGTTGGAGAACAGACTTTATTTGTAAAAGCCGAGAAATGTGAATTTCATGTTTCAGTAGTTAAGTTTCTTAGTTTTGTTTTAGAAAGTGGACGGCTGAGGGCGGACCCAGACAAGGTCCAAGCAGTGACTGAGTGGCCTACCCCTGCCACCAGGAAACAACCGCAGCGGTTTCTTGGCTTTGCAAACTTTTACAGACGGTTTATCCGCAATTACAGCCAGACCGCAGCCCCTCTGACAGCTCTAACCTCTGTTGTTAAGCCCTTTTCCTGGTCTCCAGAAGCCGAAGCTGCATTTAGGACTCTGAAGAGGAGGTTCACTGAGGCCCCAGTCCTCTCCAGACCAGACCCCAAGCAGCAGTTCACTGTGGAGGTGGACGCCTCTGACACCAGGGTTGGCGCAGTCCTCTCTCAGGTATCCCCAGAAGACCACAAACTTCATCCGTGTGCCTTCTTCTCACGGCGCTTGACACCCACCGAGAGCAGGTATGACGTGGGGGACAGGGAGTTACTGGGAGTAAAACTGGCTTTGGAGGAGTGGAGACATTGGCTGGAGGGGGCTGAACTACCATTTATCATTTGGACTGATCATAAAAACCTGATCTATCTCAAGGAGGCAAAGAGACTGAACCCTCGACAGTATAGGTGGTCTTTGTTCTTCTCCCGCTTTAACTTTGTTTTGTCCTATAGACCAGGATCAAAGAACACAAAGCCTGACGCTCTGTCTCGCCAGCGCTCCTCTGAAGATGAGACGGCTCCTAGCACCATCTTGCCTGCCTCCTGCATCGTTGCTGGAGTAACATGGCCCATAAGAGACCAGGTCCTGGAGGGCCTTAAGGTGGATCCTGGCCCAGGTAACGGACCCTCCAACAGACTGTTTGTTCCCCAGGCACTACGAGGAAAGGTTATTCACTGGGCTCACACCGGGAGGTTCTCAATCCACCCTGGAGTAGGACGTACTGTGGCTCTGATCAGGCGATCTTTCTGGTGGCCCTCCCTCTACAGAGACGTGAAGGAGTATGTGTCGGCCTGCCACGTCTGTGCCCAACAAAAAGGTACCAATCAGTCTCCAGCAGGCCTACTCTGTTCCCTACCAGTGCCGTCCCGTCCTTGGTCCCATATTGCCTTGGACTTTGTTTGTGGGTTGCCACCTTCGCATGGTTTTAGTGTCATTTTAACTGTTGTGGACAGGTTCTCCAAAGCCTGTCATCTGGTGCCATTAAAGGCTCTCCCTACATCTGCCGTCACGGCCCAGCTTTTAATTAAACATGTCTTTCGTCTGCATGGGATCCCAACAGAGATCCTCTCTGACCGAGGCCCCCAGTTCGTGTCTCGTGTCTGGAGGGAGTTTGCCACCGCCTTGGGAGCCCAGGTGGCTCTGACCTCGGGGTTTCATCCGCAGACCAACGGACAATGCGAGCGGATGAACCAAGAGTTGGGTGCCATGCTTCGCTGCGTCTGCGCCACCAACCCATCCACCTGGAGTGAGCATTTGGCTTGGGTCGAATATGCCCATAATAGCCATGTCTCCTCCGCCACAGGTCAGTCTCCCTTCGAGTCCTCCCTCGGATATCAGCCCTCTCTGTTCCCCCTTCATACAGATGCCACCATCACCACTCCTCAGTTCCTTCGTCGGGCCCGCCGCACTTGGATCACCACGAGGTCGGCTCTTCAGCGGACCGCGGAAAGGAATCAGCGACTGGCTGACCGACACCGTCGTCCTGCTCCCACCTACTCTCCCGGTCAAATGGTCTGGTTGTCGTCCAAGGATGTCCCGCTGAAGGCGACCACCAGGAAGTTCTCTCCTAGGTTCCTTGGTCCCTTCAAGGTCGCGGCGGTCCCTAGTCCGACGACCGTGCGGTTGGAACTCCCGTCGTCTCTTCGGATCCATCCTGTGTTCCATGTCTCCCTGATCAAACCCGTTGTTTCCAGCCCTCTGTGCCCGGTTCCGGCTCCGCCTCCTCCTGCTCAGCTCTACAAAGGGGGGCTGGTATACAAGGTGCGGCGCGTCCTCGACTCTCGCCCCCGTGGTCGGGGTCTTCAATATTTGGTGGACTGGGAGGGGTACGGCCCGGAGGAACGCTCCTGGATTCCCCGGTCCAACATCGAGGACCCCTCTCTCATCTCGGACTTCGAGGCCTCCAGATCCGGTGCTAGGACGCCGGGGGGCGTCCGTTGAGGGGGGGGGGCACTGTCATGTTCCTGGGCAGAGGTGAGTCACACCTTCTCCTCTCACCAGACTCTGAGCTAATTCTCCACAGGTGAGGAGCAGGGGGAGCGGCAGCTGCAGGAGATTTCCCAATCAGGGACGCGGGTTCAAAAGGAGGATGGAGACACATCACTTTGCCGGATGATTGCACCAGTTTAGGTAGCACCAGCCACTCGACTCTGAACTTTGATCTTGTTAATTCGTGTTTTGACTCGCCTTCGACTAGTGGATTTATGACCTTGGATTGTATTTTGGATTTGGTATTGGATTATCCATTACGCCTGTTTTTGTCTCGCTCAGGATCATCTCATCATCTACTCACCCTCGCTGTCTTCGTTTTCTGGAACATACTCATCACGTCCCATCCTCCTCCGCCGTTCCTGTTTGGCTTTCCCTCTGCTACCTCACCCCTCCTGGATCTCTCATCCTCTGCCCAGCGTCCTCCCCGGCTTCCCCTCCTCTACTGATTAACCTGAGCACCTCAGAGACTCGAGCCGTATTGCTCATCCCACAGGACTTCCCTGTGCGGTTTCAGTTCCCGTTTTTATAATAAAGACATTTTACTTTACTGCTTTGGACTACGTGTGCTGATTCTGCATGTCTTGGGTTAGACACTTACCTCGAGCCATGACAAAAAGAGGCGCGTAGAAGCCTGAACAGCTTAATTAATGAAAAAAATAGATGGAAATTTGAGGTTCACCAACCAAAAGTTTTATGAAAACGGGAATAGGGCAAGCAGCTTATTAAGCTTCAAGACTTAAAAATCAACAATCATCAAATATACCGTAATTTCTGGACTATAGAGTGCGCCTCAATATAAGCCACACCAACAAAAAAAAGGTTTTCTACACACACACACACACACACACACACACACACACACACACACACACACACCAAATACAAGCCGCGGCGCAGCAGCCACATGCAGGTCTCTGGCGCACAGCGCATGTATGGCCATAAGATAATTAGACAGAAAGACGCTGCACGGAGGTTTTTCGCTATTGTTTTAATTCAACAAAACGAATTTTAAACACAGGTGAAGGTGCCTGCAAGTTTAGAAAAGAAAACAGCACTGATAGCATTCATATTTCTGGATGGTTATAAAATGAAAACAGAACTGACACGTTATTACCGGTAATTTGCATGTTTAGAAGAAAAGAACAGTGCTGACACAGGATTAATAAGCCCTGGATGATTAGAGAATAAAAACTGCACACAAAACATGCCTGGTTAGTAAATAAAACACACTTGCCTACCAGAACAAGTCATTCGCTCTCATCTTCCTCTTGTACACTAAAGCCATTAAAGTCCTCTTCTTCAGTGTCGGAGTTGAACTGCCTCAGAAGAGCTTCGTCACATAACTTTTCTGTGGCGATGTCAGCGTCGCTGTCCGTGTTGCTGTCATCATCCCCGGGTGAAGCTGGCTTGAATGAGTTCTTCCCGCTGCCGTCTCCAGCGCCGAACCATGGATTCATTCATGCCAAGCTTACGTGCAGCAGCACTGTTTCCCTCCTTTACTGCCAGATCGATGGCCTTCAACTTAAATGCGGCATCATATGAACTCATACGTGTAGTTACCACGATGAGGGGGTATGGATTTGAAAAAATCTCTTCGTTGTGCCGGCTGCTTGTATGTGCTAAATTAAAATGAGCACTTTCTTCGATTTCCACTTTTGACTTGCACCTGTTTCACTTTCTGCTAAAGCGCCCCCTAGTGGCAGGTGAAGGAAAATCTTCAGTAAAGCCGCACCTCATTATAAGCCGCATGGTTCAAAGCGTGGGGAAAAAGTAGCGGCTTATAGTCCGGAAAGTACGGTAGTACAGAAATTAGAGGAGGATGGCTTAACTCTCACTAACTAAAGATGAAATATCACAGTGCTTTGCAGTTTTACAAAACTCTTTACAAAAATACAGACACTTGCACAAATGATGAGGAATTGGCACAATTTTTAAAAGATATCAAATTAAATGAGCTACCTGAATCTATAGTAGAGGAACTTCATGAGCCAATCAAAGATTATGAAATACATCAAATAATCTCCACTTTGAAAAATAATAAAAGCCCTGGCCTGGATGGATATACTAACCAATTTAACAAAGTTTTTACAGCGACCATAACACCCCTATTATTAGAATGCTACCATTATGCATTACATTCTGGGACTATGGCACCCTGTTGGAGAGAGGCCACTACAGTGGTAATACACAATGGCGGTTTTAAACGGGGGCCCACAGGGGCCTGGGCCCCTGTAGAACTGGCCCTGGCCCCTGTTATGGCCCCTGTGCTGAAGAGATCGGATTTTTTTTCCCCGCGCTGCCTCGGAGACGGGAACTAATGTGCGGCTGCAGCGTTTCACATGGAGCCTTTAAAGCGCAGCACACTCTGTGGACAGAACTGTTTATGCGGTGGATTTTTGAATAAAAGATTAAAAATATTTTAAATGGGACCCGAAGAAGTTCTTGAGGACGCCAAACGGAAAAGACGCTAAGAGACGAAGGTAAGCAATACAGTTTATTTTCCTGACATCAATGTTTTGATCGTAGTCGCGCGTTTCTGTCATTTACTTTTATGTTCCTAACTGAGTCTATCCACAGTTAATACTGATTTATTTTTGCTTTGTAACATTAACTGTAAAATAAAAATGAAGTTGCTGCATTTTAAGCCTTAGACACATTGAGATTAGATCACAGTAATCATTTATCTAGGACTTTCTCGCAGCACTGACTGGAAGCATCAGCGGCCATGAAAAGAAAAAGGGTCATTTTGTCCTTTTTTACCGCTGTTCAAAAAGAACAGCGTAGACAGAGAGAGAGGATGAAAGTCACGAGGGAGCTGGGAAGCAGGATGAAAGAGAGAAGGAGGAGATGGTTGGAGAGGAACCAGAGAGGTCAGAGGCTGTCCACCCTGAGATAAAATAATAAATAGATAAAATAAGACTCTGAATTAACTAATTATGACTCTTATCCTCATGCTAACATTTATTTTCTTTCAGATATCAGCAAGTGCAAGGATGACCCACCTACTCAGCCTAGTTTGAGGACATTTCCAGGGACATTAATAGGAGACAGAAGATGCAGCTTTCAGCCAAGCTGGTATGAAAGTCATCCTTGGGTTGAATATTCTGTTACTATGGACTCTACTTATTGTCATGCATGCAGACATTTTAGCCCGCCAAGTAGCGCAGGAAGTGTGTTTGGCTCACCATGTGGATTTGGGAACTGGAAAAAAGCAACTGAGAGAGGAGGGGGGTTTTCAGTACGTGCAAAGTCTGAAAGGCATAAGGATTCAATGACAGCGTGGAGGGACTACCAGAGGGCTGTGAAAGCTAATACCACATTGGCTAATATACTCAACAAGGAACACAGTAAAAGGTTAAAGAAAATCGTGAGTATATCAAAACAATTGGTGAAGTGATTTAGCTTACATGTGCGTGTGTGTGTGTGTGTGTGTGTGTTGACTACAAAAAGCAAATTGTATTGTGCAGATATTTTATTTGTTTGAATGTTTATTTTTCATATGTACAGTTCATATATTCTTCAAATAAAGTCACAAACTATAATAATTGACTAGAATTATTTTTTTTACTCAAGTCTCATGTTGCAGTGAAGCATTCAGAATTGTTATCTGAGTACCATAAAAACATGCCAGTTTTACTTTCACAAGTAAACCATTAATGCATTCGCTGTAATAGTTTACTTGTTCATTGTCTTTTATTATGATTTTTTTTCTTGTGCCCCCATGAAAAAATACTGGCCCCACTGTGGCCCCCCTGGAAAATTTGGTCTAGAACCTCCCCTAATACATAAAGAGGGTAAAGATCCCACTAAATGCCAATCATACAGATCAGTCTCATTATTAAATACAGATTTACGAATCTTAACAGCTATTCTGGCAAGACAGGTCAACATAAGTATCACAAAAATTATCCATCCAGATCAGACCGGGTTCATAAAAGGGCACTACTATGGAGACATCAGGAGGCTGTTAAGCATAATGACACATCCAAAAGTTAAGGAAGTGGAGTCAATGATATTATCCCTGGATGCCATGAAAGCATTCAATCAAGTATCCTGGCAGTATCTCATCCAAAATCTGAAAAGATTCCTATTTGGCCCGAACTTCATAAGATGGATACAAACCTTATATTCAGATCCACAGTCTGCAGTCAGGGTAAATGGGTTTCTCTCAGAGCGTTTCACTTTATAACGGGGGTGTAGACAAGAATGCCCACTGTCTCCTTTATTATTCAATATCAGTATAGAACCATTAGCGCAACTGATCAGAGACAATAAAAATGTAAAAGGAATAACAATAAACAGAGAACAACATAAAATTTCAATGTGTGCTGACAAAGTACTGCTGTATTTTACAGAACCCACAACAACGCTACCATGCTTAAAGGACATAATCTTTACATACGGATATTTCTCAGGCTATAAATTGAACATAGATAAAACAGTGGCTATGGATATAGGCGGCAACATCTCAGATATGACTAAACTGCAGAGTGGGTTTAAATGGCCAATAGATGGCATTAAATACCTAGGCATAAATATACCGCTTTCCTTACAAAAACTTTATGAGGTGATTTATAAAAGTTTGATTCTTAATATTAATAAGGACTTAAATCGATGGTCAACGTTGCCTCTATCTATGCTGGGCCGAATTGAGACAGTCCGTATGAATATGCTCCCAAAATTATTATACTTGTTCCAAATGCTACCTATCGATATCCCCAAAGCTACATTTGACAAATGGGACAAGTTAATCCCAACATTTATCTGGCAGAAAAAGCATCCAAGAATTGCACTAAAAGCACTACAGCTATCTAAAGCAAAGGGAGGTCTCAAGCTACCTATTCTGAGATATTACTACTGGGCAGCACAACTAAAACCACTAATAGTCACTACTTGTCTCATACACGCTGGCTCAATATTGAGAAGAGCTTGTGTGATAGACCCTTACACGACTTACCATTCTTAGATGTACATCCAAATGCAATAAAAATGAATGATTGGACAAAAACCATGCTGAAAATTTGGAAGACAGTACAGTCTGCATTTGGATTGCCAAAAAAATGTCAGCTCTTACTAATATTGGTCATATGAACGACTTTACTCCCTCTAAATTTGATACAGGCTTCAAGGCATAGGCAAAGTTTGGACTCACCAACCTGCATCAACTTCTCGAAGGGGGCAATTTTAAATCATTTGCACAGCTATCGGAAAAAAATTAAACTACCGAATATAAACTTTTGTAGATTTTTACAGCTAAGGGATATTTTATTAAAACACAAAGACTGGGACAAGGTTTCTAAACCAACACCAATTGAAGAGTTGCTGATCGAATTACAAACAAACAAGTGGGATGGAAAATTAATAAGTGGGTGTTACCAAATATTCATGAGCATGAATTTGAATAATACTATGAAGGTTAGAGAGAAATGGGGAATTGAAATTAATTCCATAATATCATATGTGGGAGGAAATTTGTACTGAAGTACATAAGGTGACTAATTCAAATATATGGAGAGAATTTAAATGGAAGGTAGTCATGAAGTTCTT